TGCATAAAGAGGATGATGTGGTCAAAATACTCATTTGCCTAATAATTCTGCACTCCCTGTATAGTGTTAAAACCACCATCTAGCCCCTCTGGGCCCCTCATGCCTCCATAAATATAGCAACATCTGACTGTATTCAAGCCAGAGGCTGTAACTCTGCATGCTGTTTGCCTGAGAAAAAAAAACAAGCAGTCTGCTGACATCAGAAGTGGTAGCCTGATCCAATCACAGTGCTTCCCCATACGATTGGCTGAGACTGACAAAGAGGCAGATCAGGGGCAGAGCCAGCATGATTCAAACACAGCTCTGGCCAATCAGCATCTCCTCATAGAGATGAATTGAATCAATAAATCTCTGAGGAAAGTTCAGTGTCTGCATGCAGAGGGAGGAGATGCTGAATGTTTGGATGCATTTTAGGCAGCCATGACCCAGGAAGGATCTCTAACAGCCATCTAAGGAGTGGCCAGTGAAGTTATCACTAGGCTGTAATGTAAACACTGCTTTTTCTCTGAAAAGACAGTGTTTACAGCAAAAGCCTGAAGGTAATGAGTCTACTCACCAGAACAAATTCAATAAGCTATAGTTGTTCTGGTGACTATAGTGTCCCTTTAAGAACATTGTATGCTCCTTATGGAGGAAAATCTCTATATTTTGGACCCAGTTCTTGCTATTCTGTACTATCCTATAGTGTTCCTCTTTCTAGGACTTTAATACACACCAAAGTTTTGAGCTCCTAGAAAAGAATATTGGAATATGAGTCCCAGTGAAGGATTGAAGATTGTCCGTTATTAAATAGAGTGAGAGATGTTAATCAGATAACTTGAATATACTACTTAATTTCTGTAGCCCTCCTTTCCTCATATGTCCATTAATTTGTTATTCATATTCTTCAATTTCCAGGCAGAACCTGAAGGATTTTCTCACTTTCACTTATATGTTTGTGCTGCCTTCTTAATCAAATGGCGGAAGGAAATTTTGGATGAAGAAGATTTCCAGGTAATTTATTATTCTGCAATTTCCCATTTTTTAACACAAGAGAAATACTGTAAATTATATTAGTCTGTCATGAAGGTAAAATTATGTTTGACTTTTAGAATATTGGCTGATTGTATGCTAAAGGCATAGATCAAATACTTCTGTAGTTTTACATAATTTAATTACACAATATAAAAAAAATTCTCAGGATAATTTTAGCTATTGACCGTTCACATAATTAAATTAATATATACAATTAAAACCTCTAAACCCCATAAAATTAGCACATTTGCATTCTAAATATCTAGCAAAATAATTATATTTGTGCTATAAATATGCATTATGTGCCCTGTTTTAGCAAATTAAGGAGATAAAGCAAAAAATAGCAAAAGATTCATTTGGTATAACTGATGCAAGGAGTATAGGTTGTTCATGGGCTTTGAGTGTCCTTTTTTATTTATTTTTTATTTATTTCTTTATTTTTCCATCTTGACAAGGGTAGTTTGAGAACATAAGCAACATTGCTTTTGCAAAAGCCTATTAATTCGCAACATATTTGAACACTGTTATACACATGATAGCTCAATGCGTATCCAACAAAACATTAGTAGTAGGCTTGTTTAGCTACTAGTCAAGGGTTTTTCCATTTATTAGACATAACATATGATATAATATAATATACTATACGTCCTGCGTGCTCATCTCGTCGTTAACATTACATGATTGGTACGTTGCAGTAGGGGTGCATAATGTAGTGAGATTTCTCATGTTGTATCCCCGTTTAATAGGACGAGCTCTGGTTTCAACAGGACGGTGCACTTTTGGTGGTTATTGTTTATCACACTGTACAGTAGTGGGTGGTGTCCTACACTATTTAGCACAATGTAGCTAATATTATTGTATGGTAAAGGTTTTGTTCGGGGGGAACTCCGTCGCCCGTCCCTTGTGCAATGTACCCAGACTGGCCCGGGGTCGTCCAATTCGCTAATTATATAAGGTTCGGTTCCCGAGCTCCCCCAAAATATTATGGATCAAGAGAAAAGTAAAAGAACATAGAATAGGAGAAAGTGTAGAGAGTTAGCTAGAAAAAAATGGGGGGGAAGGGGCGGGGTTGTACGTCAGTCCCATGCGGTGTGGCATTGTGTGAGGTTCCTTGGGGGGTCCTTAATTAGCTCCTACCCCTGTTTCACGGGGGTCGGGTGGATGTCATTTCCTCAGAGAGATCGCTGTTCTGCCATGGGCCCCACAATTTGTCGAAGCTGGTCATGGTCCCTCTTAGTCGGGCGGTCAAGTTGTCCATTAGATATACTTCTTTTATGTTGAAGATGACCATCCGAATTGGTGGCATTTGTATTTGTAGCAAAGTCTGCGCTATCGCTCTCCTGGCGGCTAGAGTGATCTTATGGCTCAGTTTCTGTTCCATCCTTGTCCAATCATCTAAAGATCTGCTAAGCAAGTATGTCCAGGGGTTTAAGTTGGGAGCTCTATGAAAAATTCTTTTAATCAGGTTGTATATCTGTGTCCAAAAGGATTGTGCTTGGGGGCATTCCCACCACATGTGAATGCATGTGCCCCTAAGGCCGCATCCCCTCCAACAGTTATCAGTTGGTGTTTTTCATGCAATGCAGTTTGGCCGGTGTAGTGTACCATCTAAACATCGTTTTATATGCCTGTTCTTGAAGGGATACGCAGATGGACACTGAATTGTTTGCTTCCCAGATTTCTCTCCACTCTTCTCCCTCTAGTACCTCCCATAGATCTCTTTCCCAGGCGTTGTGTCCTTTTAACTGCCCTCGGGCCAGCTTGTATCATGACAGAGCAGCATTTGCCTTATATCTGTGGCTTTTTGACACTACACTACTGGGGCTCAGTTTAAATGGCTCTCTCACAGGATTCACAGCAAATGTTACAGAGAGAAATGACATAAAGATCATAATGAGGTAACAATAGAGCTCATAATACTTCTCAGCAACTGTAGCAAGATATGTTAGCTAAAGTAGCCTTCTTTCTCAAGCGTGCGCTGGAGGAGTTGTGTAAACAGGATATGTCAAAATCCTCAATCAGATGATCTGACATACTTTCCTTAACCCCTTAAAGGACCACTATAGTGCCAGGAAAACATACTTGTTTTCCTGACACTATAGTACCCTGAGGGTGCCCCCACCCTCAGGGACCCCCTCCCGCCGGGCTGGATGGCGAGTAAAGGGGTTAAAATTACCTTTTTTCCAGCGCCGGGCCGGGAGCTCTCCTCCTCTTCTCCGCCTTCGATTCTCCTCTTCTGCTGAATGCGCATGCGCGGCAGGAGCTGCACGCGCATTCAGCCAGTCTCATAGGAAAGCATTCATAATGCTTTCCTATGGACGCTGGCGTCTTCTCACTGTGATTTTCACAGTGAGAAGCACGCAAGCGCTTCTAGCGGCTGTCAATGAGACAGCCACTAGAGGCTTTATAGGCTGGATTAACCCATTTATAAACATAGCAGTTTCTCTGAAACTATGTTTATAAAAAAAAGGGGTTAATCCTATCTGGACCTGGCACCCAGACCACTTCATTAAGCTGAAGTGGTCTGGGTGCCTAGAGTGGTCCTTTAAGGACCAAACTTCTGGAATAAAAGGGAATCATGACATGTCACACGTCATGTGTCCTTAAGGGGTTAAAAATAAAGTTGCACAGGCTTATCTGCAAAAGAGATTACTTCAAGTCACACTCAGGTATTTTCTATAGTATGATTGTAGAATTTGAGTGTTAGGGCATAGTCCACTTCAGCATGCCAGCATTTGTTAGCAACAGCTCACATTATGTGATCAATCCTCTTTCCTGCTGCTGTTCCTTCTTCATTGTCTCTTCACTAGATTGGTCATGTTGGAGTTTCACATCTTATTAGCAGTATTTAGGCTGTTGACATCAGGTTGATTTATCACCTAAATGTGTATTTTAGTGACAAAAGGATAAAAGAAGTGTGCACCTGAAGCTGAGAGAGAGAGCGCCTAACAACAGAAAGTTTCAGTGAAACTTATATAGATAAAAGATAATGAAAAACACTGAAAGACAATACAGACATACAGGTGATACTCGAAAAATTAGAATATCGTGCAAAAGTTCATTTATTTCAGTAATGCAACTTAAAAGGGGAAACTAATATATAAGATAGACGCTTTACATGTAAAGCAAGATAGTTCAAGCTGTGATTTGTCATAAGTGCGATGATTATGGCTTACAGCTCATGAAAACCCCAAATCCACAATCTCAGTAAATTAGAATATTGTGAAAAGGTGCAATATTCTAGGCACACAGTGTCCCACTCTAATCAGCTAAGTAAGCCATAACACCTGCAAAGGGTTTCTGTGCTTTTAAATGGTCTCTGTCTGGTTCAGTAGGAATCCCAATCATGGGAAAGCCTGCTGACCTGACAGTTTTGCAGTAAACCATCTTTGATACCCTCCATGACGAGGGAAAGCCTCAAATGGTAATTGCGAAGGAAGTTGGATGTTCCCAAAGTGCTGTATCAAAGCACATAAGTTATGTGGAAGGGAAAAGTGTGGAAGAAAAAGGTGCACAAGCAGCAGGGAGGCTGGAGTCAGTGCATCAAGAGCCACCACACACAGTCAGATCCTGGACATGGGATTCAGATGTCGTATTCCTCTTGTCAAGCCACTCCTGAACAACAAACAACGTCGGAAGCGTTTTACCTGGGCTAAAGAAAAACCGACCTGGTCTGTTGTTCAGTGGTCCAAAGTCCTCTTTTCTGATGAGAGCAACTTTTGCATCTCATTTGGAAACCAAGCACCCAGAGTCTGGAGGAAAAATGCAGAGGCACACACTGCAAGATGCTTGAAGTCCAGTGTGAAGTTTCCACAGTCTGTGTTGATTTGGGGCGCCATGTCATCTGCTGGTGTTGGTCCACTGTGCTTCATTAAGTCCAGTGTCAACGTAGCCGTCTACCAGTAGATTTTGGAGCACTTCATTCTTTCTTCCGCAGACGAGCTTTATGGGGATGCTGGCTTCATTTTCCAGCAGGACTTGGGACCTGCCCACACCCAAAAGCACCAAAACCTGGTTCAATGACCGTGGGATTACTGTGCTTGATTGGCCAGCAAACTCACCTGACCTGAACCGCATAGAGAATCTATGGGGCATTGCCAAGAGCAAGATGAGAGACATGAGAATGAACAATGCAGAAATGCCGAAGGCCGCTTTTAAAGCATCCTGGTCTTCCATAACACCTCAGCAGTGCCACAGGCTGATAGCTTCCATGCCACGCCGCATTGAGGCAGTAATTGCTGCAGAAGGGGCCCAAACAAAGTACTGAGTCCATATGCATGTTTATACTTTTCAGAGGTCCAATATTGTTCTATGTACACTCCTTGTTTTATTGATTGCATGTTATATTCTAATTTACTGAGAATGTGGATTTGGGGTTTTCATGAGATGTAAGCCATAATCATCGCACTTATGACAAATCATGGCTTGAACTATATTGCTTTGCATGTAATGAGTCTCTCATATATTAATTTCCTCTTTTACGTTGCATTACTGAAATAAATGAACTTTTGCATGATGTTATAATTTTTCGAGTATCACCTGTATATTCCCACATCCCACTATTTACTTACAGACACGCTGTATATTTACGCATACATACAATGATTTCCATACAGACATACAACCATTGCAACACATATATTTACATAGAAACTTAAAAATACTCCAGGCAGCTTGGCCACTTCAGGTATTTGAAGTGCTCGTGGTGCCTGGGGTCTGTGTTTTTCCATTTTAGGGAGGTGTAAATTTACTTCCTTGTTGCAACTAGTATTCCTGGCTGGCTAATGTAATCTCTGTGCATGATCCTAGACTGTAAGCTCGTTTGAGCAGGGTCCTCATCTACCTATTGTACCTGTGTTACTGTGTAATTGTCTAATGTATTGTAATTTCCACCCCTATTATAATATTGTAAAGCACTGCAGAATTGATTGGCGCTAGTTAAATACCAATAATAAAAATAATAATTGAATTCATTATCAGAGACACTTCCAGCCTATGATAGATGACTGGTGGGATCAACATCAGACTTCTGCAGCTTTGTAGAATTCTGATGTCATTAGCTAGCGGGGACCCATGTAAGAGTGTAAATCATTGGGTACGGGCTGGAGTGATTATGATTCATGGAGCAATCCTTTAAAAAACAAAACAAAAAAAAAACACTCTACATATATCTAACAGCAGACTCTTTCACTGGTTTACATGTTTTCAAATTTATATAGCAATAAATACACCTTTTTATATTTGCTTAAAGGGACACTATAGGCACCCAGACCACTAGAGCTAATTGAATATGTCTGGGTGCTGTCACCCTTTTGTGCACTTAGTGCTGCAATGTTAAACATTGAGGTTTCAGAGAACATTAGGTCTCCCGCGCCGAGGAGGAGCATGGGCGGAGCCTGACCCAGCGCCAAGGGACATCAGCGCTGGATTCAGGTAAATGGCTGAAGGGGTTTTAACCCCTTCAGCCCCGATGGAGGGGTGACCTATTAACCCTATAGTAGTTTTCCTGCATTTGTGCTGGCGAGTAACTTTAAAGTCTGGCTAGTAGGTCAGTCATTGAGATTTTAGGCCCTGATGACACAAAAACAAAATAAATTAGAGAGGGTGACTGTAGTTTATTTAGCAAGAAACTGAGTGGTATAACTCAGTGAAGCTAATGCCTTTGAGATGCAGTTTCAGACAGTGATGTGTAGAGGGGCTATTGTCTTTGTGATGCAGGGAGTTTCAATATTAGTGCGTAGCAGTGAAGGCAATGTGATTTAATAGCAAGTGAAATTCATAGCTTTAAATTTACACTGAGGTGGATACTAGAGAAATGCACAGTGTGTGAGTAAAAGTCAGTGGAGAGCAGTCAGGTGAGCGACATCTTTGTGACTGTCTATGATGTCTGCCTGGGTGTTTGCACTTGATCTGAATCCCTTGTGTGGCCTTAACAGCAACCACAGTATCATTACTCAGTATATGTAATATAACATATACACACACACCATAAAATAAAAGAAATCTTAATTTTACAACCCACTTTTATTCCTAGTTAGTACAGATAGGTGTACATATCGTCCTGCAGGTATGTGTAGAACATTTAGTCTAATGTATAATTTGTCACTCTCAATGTTACCACCCACTTCTCGCTGCAAGCTGGACATGTCGCGCCTCCTAGAAAACTGCTGCATCATGGGAACTATCCCATGAAGGCTTAAGGTAAGGAACAATAAATTACGTTAGATGGTTTAGTCAAATACTAGAAAAATTGAGATATACTTTATTGTATAAAGGGACACTAGGAGTTGTAACAAATTCATTATATTGAAATGGTTACAGTGCCGAGGAACTCCTGGCACTGTCCTTCCATTTAACGTTTACCATTTTTGATGTTTTAACCCCTTAAGGACCAAACGTCAACCAAATATTGACTCACTAAAAAAAAAAAGCAGTACTATTATATCACTGTTTCTAATAATGGGCACCATTGAAATACTTTGTATACTGTTTTACTCTGTATTGAAATGACGCAATACACAGCAGAGCATCCAATACACCCCATGCAGTATGATTTTGGAGTTATGTCCTTGCTGCTGCTTCATGAAACGACAGGAAACTAGAATC